TCTGAAAAAGAGTAGAATCACTGATAAATAGAGGTAAAGCAATTTTGGTTGTTTTTTGATATCTGAATGAACATTTGATATAATAGTAAATTTGATGTAATGCACTCAGGTATTATAAATTATATATAATATTTAAACATTTTGTTGTTCAAGATCCTAAAAATGTGATAGAAACTCATGAGAGAAAACCTAAAAATGTTTATTTCCCTTGGAACTCAACTTATTCTTTAAACTTTTCAAAGAGTTTTTATCAGTTCTTATAAGAACAATGTAGCACTTTGGGGCAAAGATGCAGCCTAGGAGCCCAGCACTGGAGGCCAAGATGGAGACGATCTCCACGGCCACCATGACTTTGCCCTTGGTGCTGTGTAGAAGGGGAGGAAGGTGACCCGGACACTGAGGAGCACCAGCATGCTGAAGGTCAGGAACTTGGCTTCGCTGAAGGTGTCAGGCAGGTTCCTGGCCAGGAAAGCCAAGGAGAAGGTCCCCAGGGCTAAGGAGCCCGGGTGGCCCAGGACACAGTAGAAGGCAGTGACCGAGCCCTTGTTCCACATGATGAGGAGCTCCTTGGCTCAGAGTGTGTCCATCTCAAGGAAAGGGGGAGAGGTTCCCAGCCAGACTCCACAGATCATGGAGCGCATGGGAAAGACATAGCAGCTCCTGTTACCAGCAGTCACCTCATGGTTCTTCCTGGTTTCCTGGCCTTGAATGCCAGGATCACAGCCAGGGTTTTGGCTAAAACAGTGGCCACAGCCACAGTGAACACAGCTCCAAATGTGATCTGTTGGAGGACGCAGGTGGCTGTGTGGGGATGATTGATGAAGAGTAAGGAGCAGAGGACGCACAGGAGGAGGGAGATGAACAAGTCAGTGACATCTCCAGAGAATCATCAAAGCTGAGGAAGGCCAAGTCCTTGGGGAGGAAGGCAGTGATTTCTCTCACTGTTTGGATGCCCTTAGGCTGGGCGCTGGATACAGAGCATTAGGCTGCTCTGCATCTGGGGAAAAAGCAAAGACTCGGTGTTTCAGCTTCAGAAATTCTTCATTTTTGGCCTGTTTTTAACATGATCACCTCTGTTGTCACTGTGTAGACAGACTGGCTATGATGTAATACTCAGGTACACAATTAAGATTCTGTACTCAAAACATAGGAAGAATGCTTTCAGCTACAGGTAAGACAAGATACAGTCAGCCCGGATCCTGAATCTTTAGCATATGGTGGGTCTAGGCTGGCTCAGTGATGTCACCAAGGATGTGGATTCTTAATCCTGTGAATTTATTCCCCCAGTTATCCATTCTCTCTTCTTAGAGCCAAAAACTGCTCCTGGACCCTCTCCCCCTCTGTCCTTTCAGAGGCAAGCTTGGTCAACACATGTATGTTTTATTGTGGGTTCTCAAGTCCCATGTTCTTTATTTCTCTCTTGTTTTAAACACTACTTTGATGTTGTAAATCCTTCAGTATGCTCATGAGCAAGAGAAGTCTTTTTTAAAGTTAGCTTATTCATACCTACCTATTTATTTGCCAAATGATGGAACCTCATGGGAAATAGATGGGGAGACAGTGGAAACAGTGTCAGACTTAATTTTTGGGGGATCCAAAATCACTGCAGATGGTGACTGCAGCCATGAAATTAAAAGATGCTTACTTCTTGGAAGGAAGGTTATGACCAACCTAGAAAGCATATTAAAAAGCAGAGACATTACTTTGCCAACAAAGGTCTGTCTGGTCAAGGCTATGGTTTTTCCAGTGGTCATGTATGGATGTGAGAGTTGGGCTGTGAAGAAAGCTGAGCGCCGAAAAATTGATGCTTTTGAACTGTGGTGTTGGAGAAGACTCTTGAGAGTCCCTTGGACTGCAAGAGTTCCAACCAGTCCATCCTAAAGGAGATCAGTCCTGGGTGTTCTTTGGAAGGACTGATGCTGAAGCTGAAACTCCAGTACTTTGGCCACATCATGCAAAGAGTTGACTCATTGGAAAAGCCCCTGATGCTGGGAGGGATTGGGGGCAGGAGGAGAAGGGGACGACAGAGGATGAGATGGCTGGATGGCATCAGCGACTCGATGGGCATGAGTTTGAGTAAGCTCTGGGAGTTGGTGATGGACAGGGAGGCCTGGTGTGCTGCGATTCATGGGGCCGCAAGGAGTCAGACACGACTGAGTGAGTGAACTGAACTGAACTGAATAAATCCTACTGTTAAAATGATTGGAATTGTGCAATATTGATGGAAGAATTCAAGTCATTCAATATTGTTATATTTTAGCAAATAAAAGCACTATAACCCTTCTATACTTTATATCTTACATTTTTTTGTGTGTGATACAGAAGTCTTCAAGTTTCTATCTCATGTAACAGCTACTTTTAAGGTCTCTAGGTTGTGATTTAGATTAGAATGTTATGTATTTTTCTTTTTCACATGTATCTCTCCAGGGTGGAAATGATCTCCTGGAGGAGACAACCCACTCCAGTTTTCTTGCCTGAAGAATCCCATGGACAGAGAAGGCTGGCAGGCTACAGTCCATGGAGTCGCAAATAATCCGACATGACTGAAGTGGCTTAGCATGCATGCACACAGCCTGATGTTCTGTGCTCTGTTTGTTTATAATTCTGGTGTCAAGCACTCAGCAGTAAACATTTTAATGTGTCACAATGAAAAAGAACTTTGTTCTTTATCCCACATTTCCCTTCTGTTGTCATATCTTTTTTTTTTTCCTACCATGTTTCATCAAAAATGTTCTCAAAATATTTTTCTAATGACACACTTTCTTTTTTTGTTATCTTTCTTTACAAGGGCTTTCCAGATAGCGCTAGTGGTAAACAACCTGTCTGCCAATGCGGGAGACATAAGAGATTAGGTCTAAACAGCAGCAGAAGCAGCAGCAGTAATCTCCCCACCAAACTGGGACATTTTGACTCATAAAAGGGGTAGTATTAATAATTACGGCATGACAAAAAGAATGAAATGAGACTTGTTTTTCCTTAAAAAAATCTTCTGAGGACAGAAATGAGAGATTTGTAAGGAACTGTGCACTTATTAGGTTTACAGTTTAAAAAAATTATTGTGAATAGAGTCTTAAAATGGATTATAGGCATAAAGAGTTTAAAATCTTAGTGACAATTTATTACAGTTTATCACAAAAGAGATTATGTCATCTTATGCTTGTAGTTGGGTAAATTTATTTGAAAACTTCAGAAAGTCTTTTTTTAGTTGAGTTTGCAGAATTTCCTTCAAAAAAGATATCTGAGCACCTTCAAAGAGCAAAGCAAATAAGTATTAAACATTAAAGTTCCCATTATTCATCTCATTACTGAGTATCCAACTTAATAAGAAAATCTACACATGCACAAAATAATAGTACATAAGATTTAAAAATAGAAAAATTCACTCTGTGGAAATGGTATTATGATGAAAATTGAAAGAAACTCAAGAATTATTTCAAAAGCTGAAACTTTTAGGTGGATTCAGAAAGGAAAAGTGAAAGTGTTAGTCACTCAATCATGCCCGACTCCTTGTGAACCCTTGGACTGTAGCTGCCAGGCTCCTCTGTCCATGAAAATCTCCAGGCATGAATACTGAAGTGGGTAGCTGTTCCCTTTTCTGGGGGATCTTCCCTGCCCAGGGATTGAATCTGGGTCTCCCACACTGCAGGCAAATTCTTTACCTACTGAGCCACATCAACAAGTGTTCCAAGCCAGCCTCTTCTGGTGAGTGAGGAATCCATATTGATGTCAAGAGTGATCCTTTGTATCTTTTTTTCCCTTTTGTAAAATCACTTTAAGTTATCCAGGGAAGGCCTCAAAAAGGAAAATGGAGGGTTAACTGATAGAAGCATGGAGTGGCAGGATGTCCAGAATGACACTCAGTGGCATAGGGTATTAATACCAAAAAGTGAGTTTAGGGGACACTGAGATATGGATGATGTATTTGGAAAACTAATTGGTTCAGCTTGGAACATGCTCAGTGAGAGTTGAGTCACAAATATTTTCACTGATGTTGTGGGTGGGCAGATGGATATTCAGTTCTGAAGGCTGAAGCCAGATGGGTGAATCTGTGAGCATTTCTAGTTCATGAATGGTATCTGAAGCTAGGAAAATGGATGGGATTGCCTGGAAGAAGCTGAAGATGTAGAACAGACGTGAGAATAGAACGAATTTCTAAGAAGCATTGATCATTAAGTGAGAGAGGGGAGAGAGGATTAGGAGGAGGGGAGGAAGAGAGTCAGGGAGTAAAAATGGTTATTTACAGTGGGAAAAAGGAACTTGGTGATGAGAGTATGCTTCAGGGAAATACTTGAGTGAAGAAGGGAGTTGGGGGTAAAAGTGAAGGTGTAATGTCTTGGGATTCAAAGAACCCTGTGATCTCTTTGTCTGAATGTCGGTGGATTCGGGGGTATCAGCATGTGTGTGGTTGACAGTGACAGAGATGAGAAGGTGAAAACATCCTCTAAGAGGACGGTGGAGGGGAAAGTCTGGAATTGGTACTGGGTGATGACCTGGAGCTTTCTGTCCTTGAGTTCCATCTGGCTGATGACCCAGGATTCAGTTCTCTGTGTCTGGTGCCTGTACTAGCAGGATTGGCATCAGTTGGAAAGCCAGAAATCACGCTGTGGGTCTCTTCCTAGATTCACTTGGGTTTAGATCCAGAAATCAGAGTTGTAACAACCTTGTGAATGTCTATGATACACACTGTAATTTGTGATTCATTTCAGCAGGGAGAGAAGAGGGTGGTTATCCAAATGCTCTGAGAACATTCTCCATGACTGGCAGTCATTTCATTCCCCCCTCCCCTTTTTAAATCATCTCTCTTTATTTAAAGTAAAATTTCATTTTGCTTTCAGAGGTGAAGCTCAAAAGTAATACGATGCCTCAGACATTGGAGAAGAAAAGGCAATACTATTTAGACAAGTCAGAGCAGAGCCACTGTGATGAAACTGCACTTCCTATAAGGCTGACCAGCTGCACTTTCCAGAGACCAGTCACAAGGATAACCTCACATCCTGGCAATGTGGTCAGACACCGTCAATGTGAGGGGACCTTGGAGAAGCCCCCAGCAAGTCTGTGCGTTCAGGAGACTGCAGGGTCTTCAGGCCTACAGCCCAGTAGGAGACCCTTTCAGGACCATGGACAGCGCAAATATTTCCAGGATCTTTGCCCAGCTTGGTGTGGGTGAATCCCTAGGCCGTGTTGGTGCCTGGTCTCTGCACACCAGCCCTGAGCCCATCCTTGCCCAGTCTTCAGATGGGGTAGAGCTGGACCCAGGATTGGCACTCTTCCTCCCACACACCCTCTGCAGACAACCAGTAACAGATGGAGATATTCATTGGCAGTCTCAGAAAGTGAAGAGGGCAAGGAAGAGATTGGCTATGGCCTGGAGGGCAGACAGGCTTGCCAGGGAGGCAGAAAGAGCCAAGAGTCCTGAGAACTAGATTGAAAAATAGGAGAAAATCGTCCCGAAGAAGCTGAATAATGTGTGGCCCTTGGGAAGTAGTTTATCGGCGGCGGAGTGGGGTGGGGGGTGGGGGGGGACAGCCCTCCATGATACTTGCGTCCTTCAATGTCAGCCCTATTTCTTGATCTGGACTGAGAGGCTTTGTTATATTAACACTGTACTCTGTTAAACCCTTTTGTTTGAAAAATATGGGATGAGGAAATGTTTCTGTGGGTAAGAGGTTGGGTTTCACGTGACAAGAAAAAAGATTTTTGCTTGTCCTTGTGCACCTCAATTTCTATTTACTGTGATTTTTTTTTGTTTGTTTCTAACCCTCAGATTTTACTGTGATTTTTAAAATTGACTTTTATATTAAATTCTACAGAGGTTATCTAGCCTGAAGGATTATTTAGTGTTTTATATGTTTTCTTACATTGCTTACACTCAAGGAAGAAATGCCTACTCTAAAGAGGTTATATGTATGAATTTCATTGAAATATAGTTGATCCACAATTTTGTGCTAATTTCTGATATATAATAAAGTGATTCACCTATACATATATACATTAATATTCTTTTTCATTATGGTTTATTACAGGCTATCGAATATAGTTCCCTGTGCTATACAGTAAGACCTTTTTTATCCATCCTGTATGTACTAGTTTGCATCTGTGCTGTGCTGAGTCGCTCAGTCCTGTTTGACTCTTTGTGATCCCACGCACTGTAGCCTGCCAGGCCTTCTGTCTATGGGGATTCCCCAGGCAAGAATACTGGAGTGGGTTGCCATGCCCTCTTGCAGGGGATCTTCTCAAACTGGGGATCTAACCTAGGTCTCCCACATTGCAGGCAGATTGGGAGAGCCGCCAGAGATGCCTATGCTCCCAATCCATCCCTCCCCGTCTCCATCCCCCTTGGTGACCACATATCTCCTCTCTATGTTTGTGGTTGTGTTTCTGTTGCCCAAATAAGTTCATCTGTGTAATTTTTTCACATTCACATATAAGTGATATCATGTGGTATTTGTGTTTTTAAAGAGATTATATTTTTAATGTCAATTAGCTCTGTAGAAATCTTATTTTATTCAGCTTGCTTTTACATCTCATTCTAATGTAAGTTACATCATTTTTTTCATTTTGTGCTAAATCAAACATTAAGACATTTTAATGTAAATTTAATTAGCACTTATGCTTCCTGTTACATCCTTATCTGTTACCTGAAAATTTGTGGCTATTTATTAAAATTAGCTTTAACCTTAGATTACTAGGACAGAACATGTTCTCTAAAAGCATTTGATGTGGAAAATGACTTGCCAGCAAACTTATTGTTTTTCCCTGAAATAGGTCTGGAGTCATTGTAATTTTTCCACCTCACAGTGTGGGACACATCATAATTTTGTAATTATTTAACAAACAATTATTCAATAAACAATTTATTTTACTTAGAAATAACTTATTCAATAAAAGAAGCACTAAAAAAATTGAGACTCCATTCTTTTTAAAAAAATTTATTTTATTTTTTATTTTTGCCTGTGCTGGGTCTTCATTACTGGGTGTGGGCTTCCTCTAGTTGTGGCGAGCAGGAGCTACTTTCTAGTTGTGGTTCAAGGGCTTCTGATTGCAGTGCCTTCTCTTGTTGGGGAGAACAAGCTTGAGGGTGTTCAGGCTTAAGTAGTTGCAGCACTTGGTCTTAGTAGATGTGGGTTGTGGGTTTGGGCTCTCGAGTGCTGGCTCAGTTGTGGTACACCAGTTCAGATGCCCCACAGCATTGTGGGATCTTCTCAGACCAGGAATTGAACTGGTGTCCCATGCATTGCAAGGCAGATTCTTAACCACTGCACCACCAGGGAGGCCCTAGACTCCATTCTTGAAGAGCAGATGCACAGACTTTCTTGCTCTCTCATCCAGCACAGAGGCAGCAAGCTGAAAACAACCTGGTGCTCTGGAAAGCTGGCCTGGATGGTCCCAGTGCACATTCCATCCTCCTCTGGGCTCCCGCATCAAGACCTCCTGCTCTGGTGATGCTTCCTGCTAATGCAGCAGCTGCCTTTACAGCAATCACATGGACACTTGGAGGGGATGAAGCTACCTTAGGTACCAGTCCTGCCTCTGGCCAGGGCAGAAACTGTCATTGTGGGCATGTGTGTGAGTTTGTGCACTTGGAAAGGAGAGCAACCAGCTTACATGGTGTCGGTCCAACCACTATGGCCCTGACCCAGATGCCCTCTAGGGGAAGAGTGGTATCAGTTCAGATTTGCAGCCCGAAGCTCTTGAGTTCCAGCCATGCCCCCAACCAAAGAAAGGATGGCCATTACACCTGGGAGAAGCCCAGCTTCCTTAGGTTTCCTGTTCCAGCCCCGGGTGCCCTGACTCTGAAACTGTTGTTCATTGTTGCTGTTCAATCACTCAGTTGGGTCTGACTCTCTGAGACCCCATGGACTGAAATACTCCAGGACCCAATCCTGGGCCCAGCTCTGCCCCATCTGAAGACTGGGCAAGGATGGGCTCAGGGCTGGTGTGCAGAGACCAGGCACCAACACGGCCTAGGGATTCACCCACACCAAGCTGGGCAAAGATCCTGGAAACATTTGCGCTGTCCATGGTCCTGAAAGGGTCTCCTACTGGGCTGTAGGCCTGAAGACCCTGCAGTCTCCTGAACGCACAGACTTGCTGGGGGCTTCTCCAAGGTCCCCTCACATTGACGGTGTCTGACCACATTGCCAGGATGTGAGGTTATCCTTGTGACTGGTCTCTGGAAAGTGCAGCTGGTCAGCCTTATAGGAAGTGCAGTTTCATCACAGTGGCTCTGCTCTGACTTGTCTAAATAGTATTGCCTTTTCTTCTCCAATGTCTGAGGCATCATATTACTTTTGAGCTTCACCTCTGAAAGCAAAATGAAATTTTACTTTAAATAAAAAGAGAAGATGATTAAAAAGGGGGAGGGGGGAATGAAATGACTGCCAGTCATGGAGAATGTTCTCAGAGCATTTGGACCACCCTCTTCTCTCCCTGCAGAAATGAGTCTCAAATTACATGGTGCATCACAGGCATTCAGAGGGTTGTTACAACTCTGATTTCTGGATCTAAACCCAAGTGTATCCAGGAAGAGACCCACAATGTGATTTCTGGCTTCCCAACTGATGCCACTGCCACTAGTATAGGCACCACACACTAAGAACTGAATCCTGGCACATCAATCAGATAGGATTCAAAGACAGAAAGCTCCAGGTATTTACCTGAGAGAAGTGAGAACACATGGCCACACACACGCACACACAAATATTATATTTATATTGTAATATATCTTTATTTATAGTGGAAAAATGGAGATAACTCAAATATACATCAATGGGGGCATGGATAAACAGATTGTGATATACAATAGTGTGAAATGCTACTCAGCAATAAAAGGAATAGACTAATAACATATGCATGAAATGGATGAGTTCCAAAATCATCATCAAGATGAGTGAAACATGGCAGACACCAAGAGGTCATACTGTATGATTCCATGTATATGGACTTAAAGAATTGACAGAATTAATCTGTTGCTATAGAAATCAGAATAATTGTTTCCAGGGTGGAAGACTGGGGATAAATGATTGAAAGGATTATGTGGGGACTTTCAGGAGTAATGCAAATACTCCATATCTTGACTTGACTGATGTAGTTAATAGATATACATGCAGGAAGAAGAGGGTTCAATTTCTGGGTTGGGAAGATTCCTGGGGAAGAAAATAGCAACCGACTCCAGTATTCTTGACTGGGAAATTCCATGGACAGGGGATCCTGTTGGATTAAGTCCGTGGGGTCACAATGAGTTAGAGATAACAGAGTGACTTAACAAAAACAGCATATACATGTATATCTATTTTCAAACTTACCAAGTTTAAGATCTACATGTCTCTGTGTAAAATATCTTAATTGAAAACATAGAGCGCTGTAACACTACACAAAATATTAAACCAAAGCATACATTCTGTGAGCGATTATTCTACTGTAGGATGAAGCAGTTCTCCTGGGTGCTTGAGTCACATGGCTGATTCTTGCTCCAGGGTGATTGGGAGGATGACATGGAACTGTCATTTTCAGACTGAAGTATCATTTCTTCTTTTTCTCTGTAAGTTAGATGATTTTTCCATCTCCATGTGCGGATTTATGGGAGAAACAGAAAGAGAAATAATGCTGAAATATCCCTGAAAGTAATTATTGACATCATTTGTTGGGAATTTCCTGACAAAAAGGTGAGATTCATATTGAGGCATGGATCCCAGGCAAAGTCTGAGTGTTTTTCTTCCAGGCTTAATGTACTTAACTTTGTTTTTTGCATCTCAGAAAGTTGAAGATATGAAAGTAATCATGATGATATGAAAGTAATCATGAAAGTAAGATGATGAAGTCTGGCCTACTTATCACAGCCATGAGCAGACTGATGTCAATATCACACCCAAATTAATTTCAGAAGTAGGACTGAAACCAAGGTCTCATATTACTACATCTCACCTGAATCCATCCTATTTATCCCTTCATTCATTTTCCTTCATCAATATCAAGTAAAAGAAGAAGAGTGTTTGGTAATGTCTATCACTTTCTTCAAGTACTATTTTGCATATACCAACAGTCCTTAAATTACGTCTTTTTTTTTTTTTTAACACCAGTGTTCTACAAAATGTAAAGACGTTTTGTACAGGAAAAAAAAATCCTGGTTAAAGATGTTTGGCAAGTCCCGAGTTCTGGGGCCTCTTTGAAGGTTTGCAAAGCATAGGCCTGGTTAAGGCTCAGAGCATACCAGCAGTGAAACACCTGTTTGGCAACTTTGTGGAACTCATGAACTAGTATAACTTAGTAATGATATAATGTATCTAAGAAAAAGTTTCATTCGTGTTTCTGTAACTCCAAGGTTTGGACTCAGCTTGCTCCTGTTGTAGTTTAGTCGCTAAGTTGTGTCCTACTCTTTTGCGACCCCATGGACTATAGTCTTCCAGGCTCCTCTGTCCATGGGATTTCCCAGGCAAGAATACTGGAGTGGGTTGCCATTTCCTTCTCTAGGGGATCTTCCTGACCCTGGATCAAATCCGTGTCTCCTACATTGTTAGATGGGTTCTTTACCACTGAGCCACTGGGGAAGCTCTTGGCTTCAGAATCCAATAATTCCAGAAAAGTAAAATCATTCACTGTGCAGATCATATGTGGTAAGTGTGCTATTATCCTACCCTAGAGATGCTCAGAGTCAGATACTGCACAGTAAGCTGAGACAGAGACGCTAACAGGTTCCTGTACCAAGAGGCAACGTGTGGTCTCATCACGCTATTGGGTGAGGGGCAGACCCAACTGCCAGCAGAAGAGAGTATTTCAAATTAGGAAACAGAATGGGCTAGAAGAGGAAATCATCTTACCACATGGGTTTGGGTGGTAGAGCTGGAAAGGGTGTAGCTGTCAGACTCTGTCTTTTTACTTATACTCCTAAGCCACTTCGCATACTCCTCTCTCACCTGAAAAAGGTGGTAAATGAAAATCTTGCATTTAAATACATCCCACATATATGCACGAATACTACCAAAATAGCATTTATTTTTCCATTTATATTTGCAGATAACCCATAGAGGCTATGTCAAACAGATTGAACTATGAGTGATTGTGTGTTAGTGGCTCAGTCATGTCTGACTCTTTGAGACCCCGTCGACTGTAGACTGCCAGGCTCCTTTGTCCATGGGATTCTTAGGCAAGAATAGTGGAGTGGAGTGGGTAGCCATTCCCTTCTCCAGGGGGTATTCCTGGCCCAGAAATCATACCCAGGTCTCCTGCACTACAGGCAGATTCTTTAGTGTCTGAGCGACCAGAGAGGCCCCTATGAGTAATAACAGAGATATTATTTGTGGATCAGCCCTTTCATATTCATGTTACTGATAACATAGCATTTATATCATCCTTAAGAACATGAGCAGTTTTCTGTAACTACTGAGAATTGCTTCCTCCTCTCAATGTTGTTGTTCAGTTGCTAAGTCTTGTCCTACACTTTGCAACCCTGAGGACTGCAGTTAGCCAGGCTTCCCTGTCCTTCAGTATCTGCTGGAATTTGCTCAAACTCATGTTCATTGAGTTGATGATGCCATCCAACCATCTCATCCTCTGTTCCCCATTCTCCTCCTGCCATCCCTTAATCTTTCCCAATATCAGGGTCTTTTCCAAAGATTTGGCTCATCCCATCAGGTGGCCAAAGGATTGGAGCTTCATCTCCAGCATAAGTCCTTCCAATGACTATTCAGGGCTGATTTCCTTTAGGATTGAGTGTTTTTATCTCCTTGCTGTCCTTAGGACTCTCAAGAGTCTTCTCCAGCACCACAGTTTGAAAGCATCAATTCTTCAGTGTCAGCGTTCTTTATGATACCGCGGTCACATTCATACCTGACATGTCTCTCTGAGATCCATACAACCCCACTGGAGTGAAACCCAGAGAGATCTGCCTATTTATTGAGTCAGAATGCAATGTGAAATCACTGCTTAAAAAGCTTATATGGTCCAGTCAATGCTGGCACCTGGATTGTCACTACCACTGCACTCTCCTACACTCAGAGCACTGCCCTCGCTACACGTCTTTGGGTTCTGGGACTGGCAAGGGTTTCCACATCAGCTTTACTTCTCTTCTTTGACTGGTTGTGTCCTACCCACCTTAAGCCCCTCACTGTCAAGCCTAAGGAAGCCCTACGTGGTAGTTTAATGCCCCCCTAACAATTTTCCCCATGGTGCAAATCACAGTTGGTTATTCAATGTCTAATTATGTTGTTTCCCATTTCTGATTTCTTCACTGTTTGGAAAGCAGCCCCTGGATCCCCCAGAGCCAGGCATGTAATAATCGTTAAAATCCAATTTAAATATTAAAAAATGAAAACCATTGTCCCCCAAACTTTAGTTTTGTTGGTGTCAGAACCCATATTCATGATCTGCGAAGATGAATGGGGAAGTTACTAGCCACTCCTCATTGCAGATTCATGTATTGGGAAACTGAAAACTGGAGACTTGAACTCCCAAAGGGGAATCAAGATGGCGGAGTGGTAGGATATGGAACTTACCTTGTCCCATAAATACATAAAAAATGCATCTACAAACAGGGGTTTGAACTCCTGGACTCAGTGGAGAATGGTAGGCTTGGGGAAAATGGGAACACATCATCAGGCAGGAGGGCATCATGTGGGAGAGAAGGGCTAGCTGGGTAAATGACACGAAAGGACCCAAGTTGAGAGCTGGGAAGAAGATAGGATGGGTCCTATTACCTGCTGATTGAGGAGGCAGTGGACCAGGAAGATGTAGACTCCCTGCAGGACATTGGTGATGGTGAAAGCATAGGCGATGATGGATCTGATGGGTTCCTTTATCAGTTCAGTGAGAAAGAAGCCAAGGCACCAGGAACAGCCCAAGAGGAAGAGCTGAGCAATGGCTTTAAACGTCAGCATCCTGTTAACACCAAGAAGGAGAGTCACCAACTCACCACCTTCTCTCTTGAATAGTATGTTGTCCTGTCTTCAGACCCCATCTGCCTTCCTCTCCAACGGTAGTAGTTTAGTCCCTTAGTTGTGTCTGACTCTTTGTGACCCCATAAACTGTAGCCTGCCAGGCTCCAGTGTCCATGGGATTTCCCAGGCAAGAGTACTGAAGTGGGTTGCCATTTCCTCCTCAAGGAAAGGTATTTCACTATTATTTTTTTTAATGTGGCAAAAACACATAACACAAAATTTACTACAACTATATTTGAACACACAGTTCAGAGGCATTTAATACATTCACATTGTTGTGCCACTAGCACAACACTATCTTTCTACTGAGCTTTTTTTTCACCCTGAAGAACTGAAACTCTGTATCCAAAAAGCAATAAGTACCCATTCCTTCCTACCCCCACCCCTTGGCAACATCAATTCTACTTTCTGGTCCTATGAATCTTCTCATTAATTTCAAGGTTTCAATATATATGATTTTAAGGGTGATTCTCATTTGACAGTGGCTCCTAACCCATGGGAGGCAACTCTCTACAGATGACTGTTCAGGGGCTTCTCAGGCGCCTCAGTGGGTAAATCATCTGCCTGCCAACGCATGGTTTTGATTGTTGTGTCAGAAAGATTCCCTGGAGGAGAAAATAGCAACCCACTACAGTATTCTTGTCTGGGAAATCCCATGGATAGAGGAGCCTGGTGGGCTACTGTCCATGAGGTCACAAAGAGTTGGACACCACTTAGCAACTGAGCATGCATGCATGCTTGAAAAAGCAATCCTTTAGAACTACAACTCATGCTAGGCCCATTAAACTGTCTAAACCCATTTTACCTTGTGTTTTGTATCTTGGACACATCTTTATTGAGGGAAGAAAGTCGATCTCTCAAAATCCACAGGGTTATCGAGTAAAAGATTAAGTTTATCTGAAAGAAAAAAAAAAAGAAACTAACTGTGGACCAATATACAGAGTCAGTTTTTTTATCATGGCCATTCTGACCCATGTGAGGTGAACTACTCATTGTAGTCTGATCTGCATTTCTCTAATAGCTCATGATGTTGAGCATCTTTTCATGTGTCTCTTGGCCATCTGTGTGTCTTCTTTGGAGAAATGTCTATGTAGGTCTTCTGCCCATTTTTTGATTGGGTGTGTTTTTTCTTATACTGAGTTTCATGAGCTGTTTGTATATTTTGGAGATTAATTCCTTGTAGGTTGCTTTGTTTGCCATTATTTTCTCCCATTCTGAGGGCTGCTGTTTTGTCTTTTTATGGTTTTCTCTGACGTATGTATACTGCCATGTGTAAAGACACCATGTGTAGTGAGCTGCAGATAGCTAGTGGGAACCCGCCGTAGAGTGCAGGGAGCCTAGCTGGGTGTTCTATGATGACCTAGAGGGTGAGACGGGGATGGGTGGGAAGGAGGCCCGTGAGAGAGGGGATATATATGGTGGCTCAGATAGTAAAGAATCTGCCTGCAATGTGGGAAACTAGGGTTTGATCCCTGGGTCAGGAAGATCCCTTGGAGAAGGGAATGCCAACTCACTCCAGTAATCTTGCCTGGAGAATTCCATGGACATAAGAGCCTAGTGGGCTCTGGCCCATGGAGTCACAAAGAGTTGGACATGACTGAGTGACTAACATGCTACATGCTATAGCTAATGCACTTTGCTGTGCAACATTGCAAGGCAACTATACCCTAAGAAAAAACATAGAGAGTCAAAATAGAAGGCACTGAAGATCATGGGAAAAGGTATGAGATTTTATGGTTAGAATATGTTGAAACTTGGGGACTTCCCTGGTGATCCAGTGGTTAAGACTCCATGCTTCCAATGCAGGGGATGCAGGTTCCATCTCTGGTCAGGAACTAGGATCCCACATGCCTCATAGCACAGCCAAATGGTTAAAAAAATATATATATTGAAATTCCTTTGGAGCAGACTGGGGATACTTGTACAATACCACCAAGGAGCTCCTGAAAGCCCACAAAAGAATGTGCATGGGTGGTCAGGCAGCACAAACACAGTGCAGTGTGGTGTCTCCACCAATGCCTTTCCTTGCACACATGGGCCATGGGCAGATATTTTCCAGGCTCACTTCAGATAGTCTGGGGCATGTGGCTGAATTCTAGTGGATGAGATGTTGGTCACGGTGACATATGCTTGAATCCTACAGTCTTCAACTCTCTTCCCCTCCAGGAACAACCAATGAGGTCATGTGTCAAAATAATAGAAAAGCCGAGGACTTCCCTGGTGCCACAAGGGCTAACAATCTGCCTGCCAATGCAGGGGATATGAGTTCAGTCCGTGGTCTGGGAAGATCCCACATACCTTGGAGCAAAAAAGTTCACGTGCCAGAACTATTGAGTCCACATGCTGTGACTTCTGAAGCCCTCACGCCTACAGTCTGTGCTCCATAAGAGAAGCCACCTCAGTGAGAAACCTGAACACCCAATAAAGAGGAGCCCCTGCTCACCCAACCAGAGAGAGTCTGCACAAAGCAAGGAAGAGCCAGCACAGCCATAAAGAAAGTAAGGCTGAATCCCACATGGGGAGGAGCCTCTTGATCCACTCTGGGCTTTGCCAAAACAGCACACAAAAATGTATTTGCTCTGTCAAGCCATTGGGATGTTGGGACTTCTTTGTCACTGTAGCACACTTTAGCCTAAACTGACTAATCATCAGACTATATCCTAAGAGTTGAACAAACTGAAGAAGATTTAAGAACACTTGGTGAAATAACTTTCAAATCACATAATTTTATCATATTGACAATTACATATTTATACATCCACTCATTTGTTTATTCAATGAATATATACTAAGTATGTATGGTATGCTAGATATTAGAGATACAAGGATGATTCTTCTCTATTGCTCAGCATTTAAATATGCTCAAATTTTTTCCCTTTTTTTAGATTTTTATTTTTATAATTAAAAAATGTATTTATTTTAATTGGAGGCTAATTACTTTACAATATTGTGGTGGTTTTTGCCATACATTGACATGAATTAGCCATGGGTGCACGCGCATGTGTCCCCCCTATTCTGAAGCCCCCTCCCAGCTCCCTCCCCACACCATCCCTCTGAGTTTTTCCAGAGCACTGGCTTTGAGTGCCCTGCTTCTTGCATCACACTTGCACTGGTCATTTGTTTTACATTTAGTAATATACAGGTTTCAATGCTATTCTCTCAAATGATCACACCCTTGCCTTCTCCCACATAGTCCAAATGTCTGTTCTTTACATCTGTGTCTCTTTGGTTGTCTTGCCTGTAGGTTTGTCACTACTGTCTTTCTAAATTCCATATATATGTGTTAATATACTGTATTGGTGTTTTTCTTTCTGACTTACTTCACTCTGTATAATAGGCTCCAGTTTCATCCACTTGTTAAAACTGACTCAAATGCATTCTTTTTTATAGCTGAGTAATATTCCATTGTGTATATGTACCACAACTTCCTTATCCATTTGTCTGCCAATGGATATCTAGGTTGCTTCCATGTCCGAGCAATTGTAAGCAGCGCTATAATGAACATAGCGGTACATGTGTCTCTTTTGACTCTGGTTTCCTCGGTGTGTATGCCCAACAGCGGGATTGCTGGATTGTATGGCAGCTTTATTTCCAATTTTTTAAGGTATCTCCACACTGTTCTCCACAGTGGCTATACTAGTTTGAATTCCCACCAACAGTGTAAGATGGTTCCCTTTTCTCCACACCCTCTCCAGCATTTATTGTTTGTAGACTTTTTGATGGCAAAAATATGCTCAAAAATTTTAAATAAAGACATATGCTCAAACATCTATTAAAAGGAAACAAATGAATGTTAAAATAGTGCCTATTTTGCCCTCCTACACTGTTGGTAGGAATGTAAATTGGTAAAACCAGGATGGAGATAAGTATAGAGATTCTTTAAAAAAGTAATACTAGAACTACTATACGATTCAGCAATCCCACTCCTGAGCATGTATCCAGAGAAAGCCATACTTTGAAAAGATACAAGTTCCCCAATGTTCACTGCAGCTCTATTTACACTATCCAAGACATGAAAGCAACCCAAATGTTCATCAACAGAGGAATGGATAAAGAAAATGTGGTACATATATACAATGGAACATCATTCAGTCATAAAAAGAATGAAATAATGCCGTTTGCAGCAACATGGTTACAACTTGAGATTATCCTACTAAGTGAAGTTAAGTCAGAGAAAGACAAATATCATATGCTCTTGCTTATATGTGAAATCTAAAAACAATATACAAATGAATTTAAATACAAAAGAGAAATAGATCAACAAACAGAAAACAAACCAGGGTTACCAAAGGGGAAGTGGGGAGAAGGATAAATTAGGAGGTTTGGAATTAACATATGCACATTACTATATATGAACAGGTAAACAATAATGACCCACTGTACAGCATAGTGAACTATATTCAATTCTTTGATATAACTTATAATGAAAAAGAATCTGAAAAATATATTCTTTTATTATATAAAAGACTTTTATATGTAAGTAAAACTTTTATATACATATAAAAGTATCGATATATACATACTTTTCCAGATTCTTTTCCATTATATATATATATATGGCTGAATCTCTTTACTGTACAACTGAAGCTAACACAACACTGTAAATCAGCTACACTGCAATAAAAAATAAACAGTAGTACCTCTTTTGATCTTCAAATTAAGTTAAATACTACATACTACACACACGTACTCTATATGCATATGGCACCTGAGGCAGATACACACACACTACAAACCTACCAAGATGACTGCTGATATGGGTCCTAAGAAACTCAAGATAAATCCTTTCTCTATGTTGATCCAGCAACTGAAAAACAGAAAGCAACAGTAGCAGCATTTAAAAAAAGTAATGGAATACAATAAATGATCTGCAATAGATAATATTTACATAGGATTTTTTGGGCTTCCCAGTGGCTCACTGGTAAAGAATCTGTCCTCTATGCAGGAGATGCAGGAGACGTGTGTCCAATCCCTGCGTGGGGAAGAGCCTCTGGAGAAGGGTATGACCCACTCCAGTATTCTAGAGAAACCCATGGACAGAGGAGCCTGGTGGGCTACAGTCCATAGGGTCACAAAGAGTCAGGTACAACTGAAGCGACTGAGCATGCATATAGCATTTTACATGTGTCAGGTACCTTTCTAATACTTGGAAGTAGATAGTATTACTGTCTTTATTTTACAAGTGAGAAAACCTAGGAAAGAATTTAACTGTCCCCAGAGTCACCAGGCTAGTAAGTGAGGAACCTTGAATTTGGAACCAGATAATCAAGTCTAGAATTCATGCTCCTTCAAGTTTATGGAAGCATTTGGTTATGACAGCAAATATCTGTAAGGAATTTGAAATGTCTATCACTTAGAGGTTAATTTTAAAAAGATTGTAAGAATACACAATGTAACATATTAAATGATGACATATAACTGTATTATTAATGTAGAAAAGTCCACTACATATTATTAAGGGAATAAACAAACTACATGGAGTACCTTTATCATGATCCCATTTTTATAAAAATATATGTTTACATGTATATTATATATATTGGGCTTCCCTGATAGCTCAATTGGTAAAGAATCTGCCTGCAAAGCAGGAGACCCGGGCTCAACTCCTGAGTCAGGAAGATCCCCTGGAGAAGGGATAGGCTACCCACTCAAGTGTTCTTGGGCTTCCCTTGTGGTTCAGCTGGTAAAGAATCTGCCTGCAATGCGGGAGGCCTGGGTTTGATCCCTGGGTCGGGAAGATCCCCCGGAGAAGGGAAAGGCTACCCACTCCAGTATTCTGAATAAACAAATTACATGCAGTATCTTTATCATGATCCCATTTTTATATATTTATATGTATATTTATATATATTTAAGGAGCTTCTCAAGTGGTGCAGTTGGTAAAGAAGCCACCTGCCAAAGCAGGAGACACTGGAGACATGGGTTCAAACTCTAGGTCAGGAAGATACCTTGGAGTAGTAAATGGCAATCCACTCCAGTATTCTTGCCTGGAAAATTCCATGGACAGAGGAGCCTAGTGAGTCCATGGGGTTGCAGAGTCGGATATGACTGAGTGACTAACACATACTGGGCTTAGTGGTATTACAGAGGTTCTTTATTAGAATATTATTTTTTATAAAACCATTTATTACTTTCAGTAATAGTAGTAGCAAAGATCTATAAACATGTGACATTTATAAATATAGACATTTATATAAACAATAAAAATTCATGCTCCTTCCAGTTTACTGTCTGTGTTACTTATACTAGTAGTTCATCTTTTTTCTCTAAACCTGTTTGCTTAGTATACAAAATGGGAACAATTGGAGCACTTTCCTCTAGGGATGTTTTGATAGACATGAGAAATGGTGTATATGAAACACTTCACCCCAGGGGCTGGAGAAATAAATGTTCAGCATCTTTATTCTCAACCTGAGTCATGATCTACTCAACCCTTCCTTCCTCCCTCAGTTTCCCACGGAGACAGGTGTGTGCCCACGTCCCCGACAGCACATTTCCAGCCCCGTACTCACTGCTTAGCGGTGCCATATCCTTGGGGGTTGATCGCGGCTGACACAGCCACAATCACCGCTGGGACCCCGTAGCCTACAGGGTACATGAACCTCTTCTTGAATCTGCCTGCGCTGGTGTAGTTGGCCACCTTTAGGTTCCTGACAGTGAGGAAGAGGTGCAGCCCTTCCAGGAACATCCAGGTGAAGGCAGCCAAGTAGAGGTAATGCAGTACACCTGCGATGACCTTGCACAGCACCTGGAGGGGAGAGGGGGGCCATTGGAGCATTTCTGGGGTCAATGACCTCACCATCTGCTCTTCACCAGGGTTGTCTCTGGGAAACTTTGGTGAGGGATGCTCCTTAGCCTTCTTCACATGTCCTTCTTCTCTTTAGAGTCATGTCTCCAAACGGATGGATGTTCCCCCTTGTCTATTCCCATGCCTTGGCCGGATGTCACTTGGGCCACCCAAGAAAAACTGAAAATGTATCATGTTTAAAGCTGAATGGGGGACTTCCCTGGTGGTCCAGGGCTTAAAATCCATCTGCCAGTGCAGAGGACAAGGGTTTGATCTCTTGTCTGGCAAGATTCCACAGGCCATGGGGCAACAAAGCCCAAACACCACAACTACTGAAGACCGAGCCCTAAAGCCCATGCTCTGAAACAAGAGGAACCATACAGTGAGAAGCCCAGGTGCTGCAAGGAGGAGTAGCCCCCACTCGCCGCAACTGGAGAGAGCTCGCAGCAGTGAAGACTCAGCGCAGCCAAAGCAGCTAGCTAGCCAAGTAAAGGTCAAGGAGATCTTTGTCCATCTTAAAACGGAAGAAGACAATATTCAAAGTGTGTTGAAGACTGCAGAAATCAGATAGCCCTTTGCCTGTTGGCTAATGGATGCTAGACTTCTCTTGAGTCGGGTGAAACTGGTGCTGGCCAGGGCTGTCTCCATCCCAAGAACCCTTAACCACCTCCTTGCCCCTTCTGAGGATGAAAATCCTCGTATAAAGCTTATGGCCAGCTTGTCCTGCCGTGATCACCATCTCTTCCATCTTGGTCACTGCCCAGAACTGAAGTCACTCTGGTCTGTGTGGCATATATTTTGGGTACATGAATTAATGAATGAGTGACACTTCCAATATTCTTATCCCCATAAAGCCCCATAGTTTTCTCTTTTGAGCCAACGGCTCATGGTTTCCTCCACTATGAAAGCATCTGCTCTGAATGACATTTTCTGTAGTAAGCAAGCCCTTCCCCATCTTTCTTCAGGTTCACTGAATGTTCCCTCCATGTCTTTAGGACCACTGGAGCTTGAAAAAGTCAATTTCCCCCTTTTCTTTAGGTTGCACAGCGTGGCATGTGGAATCTTAGTTACTTGACCAGGGATTGAACCCATCCTCTCTGCACTGGAATTGTGGAGTTTAACCACTGGACCACCAGGAAAATGATGTCCCCCCACCTCCATGCCTTTGATAAAAGTATAACCTGAATTTTGTTTGAGGACACTGCTTTCCACACATTTCAAGAGAACTGTGGCCACTCTCCTTTGTTTGAGGGAAATGGGTTTCTTCTACACCTCTCATGCTCTCTTCTGGATCATTGACTCTCTATTCACGATGAATAAAACCCTCCTCTCTTTGGAATCATGTCCTGAGTCTTTCCAGCAACCTCTCATTCCTTGCAAAACTCCACTCACTTTCTGGTTTCTCCTCCTCACTCCTTGAAGATGTTGTTGCATGAAACAATGCTTGATATCAAACCTTCTAGCTTGGAGTCATGTCAGTGACCCTCAGGATCCATCTCCACTGTGCATCGTTCATTCAGTCTGCACAAGTTTTTAAATTGACAGTTAACTGGTGAAAGGACATGAAGAAAACTCTGTGAGTTCTGGGCATGTTCTATATCTTGATCAGGGTGACAGTTTTATATCTCTGTCTCTATATCTAGGCTTCCCTAGTGGCTCAGGTGGGTAAATAACCCGACCGCCAGCCAATGTAGGAGATGTAGGTTTGATCCCTGGGTCAGGAAGATCCCCTGGAGAAGGAAATAGCAACCCACTTCAGTATTCTTGCCTGGGATATCCCAAGGAGAGAGGAGCCTGGCAGACTGTGATCCATGGGGTTGCAAAAGAGTGAGACACAACTTAGCGACTAAACAACAACATATCTATGTCTACAGACATAGATAATGCCAAGTTCCTCTGTCTATGGAATTTTCCAGCAACATATCTAATACACAATTTAGCCATGAGAAAGGAGGATTACCTGCCTTCTGCAACAACACAGATGAACCTTGAGCGCTTTATGCTCAGGAGATTGTCAAAGACAAATACTGTATAATCTCTTATCTAAAAAGAAAAATGGAATCTAAAAATCTCAGATTTGTTGAAAGAAAATATGAGTAAAAACCTTATTGTCAGGAGACAGAGGTTGGAAGGATAAGATTGATGTAATTTGAGGGTATGAACATGTAAGGAGTATTAAGTAACCCATGGGAATGAATACACAGTTCCATAAATATACTGAAAGCCACTGAGGTGTACATTTAAAAAGGGCAAATTACAGATGTATGAATTATACTGTTGACACTATGTGTAAAATAGTCCAATAAAAATTAAAGAAAAAGCTGTTTTTAAAAAAAGAAGAGGAGCGCGGGGGCAGGGTAGCCAGACCCAGGCCGGGGCTGGGGGCCGGGGCTGGGGGCGGTGGGGGCTCCGTGGTCACGCCAACCCGCCGCCCCCAGGACGTGTTCCCCATGATCCGGCGCCAGAAGACCACCGTCTTCACGGATGCCAAGGAGTCGAGCATGTTCGAGCTGAAGCGCATCGTCAAAGGTATCCTCAAGCGGTCGCCGGATGAGCAGCGGCTGTACAAAGACGACCGGCTTCTGGACGACGGCAAGACGTTGGGAGAGTGTGGCTTCACCAGCCAGACAGCACGGCCTCACCCCCAGCCACTGTGGGGCTAGCCTTCAGGGCAAATGAGGCATTCGAGGCCCTGCACATCGAGCCCTTCTCCAGCCTGCCTGAGCTGCTGGACGTGAGGAAGCCCCAGGACTCAGGAAGCAGCGCCAATGAACAGGCTGTGCAGTGAGAAGCCTCCCCCAACTGTCCCCCCTCAATAGAAGATTTGGGTGTCCAAAAAATAAAAATGAAAAAAAAAATAAATAAAAAAAAGAAGAAGGGAATTCCCTGGTAGTCCAGTTTAGGAATTGGCACTTTCACTGTTGTGGGCTTAGGTTCAATCTTTTGTTGGGGGAGCTAACATCCTACAAGTCATGTAGCATGGCCAAAATAAAAAAATAAGTAAGAAAGGGTTTTGGCTA